AAACACCACCACCAACAAACAAAACAAAGAACAGCCGTAGATAAGCTTTCTAATAATAAGCCAAACTAAGGCCAGGCATTGGTAAGAAAGAATAAGCCTCCATGTGTATTTATTTGGGAGCAGGGTGATAGGCCCCCAATAGAGCCAAAGAGTAAATAAAAAACCCCCCACCTCAAAACAAACAAATAAAAAACCTGAAATATCCAATAATTTATGAGAAACCCTAAAGTTATGAATAATAAGGCCCATATAAATATTTTATAACCTCAATAATTGGCTGTTATATTAAATTTAAAAACCAATTTAGAAAAAAAAATTCAGTTAAGTAACCCAGTTCTTAGAAAATAGTCAACGGCTGGACTCAATTTTACTACTTATTTAAGGTTTCTAAATATGTCCCCAAAATATGCTACTATGTTAATATCAGACCAAGGAATGGACGGCTAATAAACCTCATGGCTAATTTGAAATTTAGAATATGTTGATTAAGGATTTTCTTAACATAAAAAGACATTGAGTGATCTGAGGTTGGTTGTTTTTCCTTTGCTCTGTTCTATTTCTGTAGAGGATATAATCTTCTAGATTTAAAAAGAGACATAAAGCTAAAGCAAAATAATAATGTGGATCACCAGTCATGGATAAACAGGAGTTATTCATATTTTTCTCATATATAACACAGACTAAAAGAATCCACAGTAGAGGATGGAGAGATGTTCAGCTAAGAGCTCTTGCTGGTCTTCGAGGTGGACCCAAGTATGGTTGTCAACACCACAACAGGCAGTTCACAATTACCTGTAGCTTCAGCTCCAGGGGATCCAACACCTTCTTTCTTCTATAGGCACCCACAGACGTGTGGGATACTGAGAAACACACACATACACACTCACACACACAAGTTGATTCGACACGTACCTCATCATAAAGCACTAGTCTAGCAAGTGGTCGACACTCGTTTCCATTCCTAGCACCCTTGTCCTCCCAAGAATCCAAAAAGTAAATAGCATGTGTTATACCTATAATCCTAAAGCATGACTAACCAAAATTAAGTAAGATTTTTATTTGTTTCATTTTTTTTTTTCATTTTTCAAGACAGGGTTTCTCTGTAGCTTTGGAACATGTCCTGGAACTCACTCTGCAGTCCAGGCTGGCCTCAAATTCACAGAGATCCGCCTGCCTTTGCCTCCCAAGTGCTGGGATTAAGGACATGTCACCACCGCCCAACTAAGAAAGATTTCTAAATAGACCGAAGACACCTAGACTTTGAAAACATGAATGTGGTAACTATAATTCAATGGAGTTTTTACCCAACTCCCATTATCATTGCATGGAGCAAAGCATTAGGGATTAATGTTTAAATTCTTTAAAGTATATGTCTCAGTGACACAGAAAACACCAAGCAGTTCTTTTTTAAGTCAATTGGAAACTCATTGGGTGCTTGCAATGTATTCTATATTGTTTGGTTTCGTTTTTTTCTTCTTCTTTCTGGCAATAAGCAAGACAATAACTATGTTCTGCAACAGCCTGTGAACTGTACTGTAAAAGGACTATTAGAGAAAGGAGAAGGTGATCAGCAATCACACTGTGGTGCGTGAGCACTCAGCCAGGCAGCAGTGATGAGAATGGATGTGTTTTCCTCTCCATTTCATGGTCCAGAAGACCCTGAGATTCTGCTTCCAAACAAGAGCAGCAACAGGTTCAGTGCACCTCGTGGAATTAAAGTATCAAGTTGCAAACTGGGGATGAAAGTTTGAGATGCCTATTTAACATAACAAAGCAGACCTGGCCTTCAGGTTCTCCCAGAATCTCTCAGTCCCTACCAGTTACTTGGTGTGGCTGGCATATCCCACCCCCAACCATGGACTTTCCACCCTAGGGACTTCCCCCAGAGGCTCTTCCCTGTAAAATCTGGATATTTTGGTTACCTGCTCTTTTCGTGCCTTTGCCCTCTTGGCTGCTGCACCTGGTTCCCTTCTCTCACCTCTCTCCACTTCTCTCCTCTCTGCCTTCTCCTCTTTTCCCCACTGGCCCCACTCAATCTGTTCATATCCATTCTGAACTCTCCTAGACGTCTCTGCCTCTGGCTATGCTTCCCAACATATCTTTAATAAATTTTCTCCTCCTCCTTACCTGGGACCAGTCATGTTTCTTTCCTTTTTATTTCCTTTTTCATTCATGCTGCGCTGTGTTATGCCCAGGTTGCAGAGTCTTCAAAAAACCAGCATGTAACTGTACAGAAGCTGGTGAGCCCACCAGTCTCTGATGGTCTGTTCCAGGGTTACAGTTCAACTCTGTGAGATGCTAGACAAAAGAAACACTAGCAAGTAGAAGAAGAGGCAAACAAGAGGGGGTAACCAGAGTGCACTAGACACAGACATGAGTTTATTAATTATAAAAATACTTTGGAAACAAAAGTTTGAGAACAATAAATCTATGATATTTGACAATTTTTGCTTATCAATAGCCAATGTGTAGAAATAGGAATTCTATTGTGTGTATACATATGTATATGTATGTGTATATGTATTTGTGTGTGTGTGTGTGTGTGTGTGTGTGTGTGTGAAGTTAAGGCCTACCAGGCCAAGAGAAGCTAACCTGGAGTCTGCCTGGTGCTGTCAGGTTCTGATCATGCCTAGCCAATGAGGGGCAACCACGTGATGTCAATGGATTGGAATGCATGGGTGCTGTGTGGGTATATGTTTTCCCCTTGTTAAATAAATGAGTCTGCTGTACACCTTCTACCTGACTACTGATGCCTGAGCTGTTGATGTTGTGCCTTCTCACCCCCCCCCCCAAGGAAGACATTAGGGCCCAGCTATCTCTCTCTCTAAATACATACATACATGCATATATATGCGTATATTGTATTTGGGGGATATCTATCTATCTATCTATCTATCTATCTATATAATTTAAATTTGTATCTTAGGACCATACAACTCAGTTTCCTCTGGTGGCATTGACATCAAATATTTGAGCTTCAACTATAATGACCTTGAAGAATAGAAGATGTTCAGAGACTTTATTTAGCTTCTTTTAAAACTATAATTTTATTTTTAAAGAGCAGTTTTTAGGTGGAGAGCAAAACTGAGCACAATGGCCAGAATCCCCACATACGCCAGGACACCCACAGATGCCCCATGCATCTACAGCCTTCCCATTAACGTCCCGAGGCATAGTGCAGGTTAAATGGCAGGGTCATATCACCGTTACCCAGAGTCAGAGATGAGGGCTCACTATTTGCATCTGTGGCTTTAACAAATGTATAATGACACATATTATAAGTATAGCACCATACAGAATATTATCAGTGTCCTAAAAGTCCCCTTTGCTCTGACCTCAGAGTTTTGCCATTTCCAGAATGACTTATAGTTGCGAAAAATAGGGGATGTAGGCTTTCTGGGTTGCTTTGATTTCTTAAATATTTTTGATGAAACTTAGTGATAAAGTCACTTAACAACTCTTTTTGTAGACTTATTTACTTTCCAGTACCAATAAAGCCACCCCTACTTGTCTTTGTTGTTATCTATGTTAATTTCACCCCATACCATCCTGTTCTCACTGGAACCAACCTCTTGTTAAATTTGGAGTCTCTCTACTATTAGGACCTAACCCAATCTGTAAATTGGCTATGTCATCAGAAGTGGCCCCCAAGATACGTTCTTGGAATTAGGTCAGTAAGCACTGGCAGTATCACTTATCTTGCAGCAATTATTTCAGCTGCTGATAAGAATAATTGCACCTACGTCGTACCCGTCTCTTTGGTAGACTTCTATAATTATCAAGGTTACTGTTCGGGATAGAATGGAGGTGCAGCTATTTTCTGTTTGGTTTTCCGAGACCAGGTTTCTCCGTGGAGGCCTGGCTGTCCTGGAACTTGCCCTATAGACCAGGTCTCTAACTCAGAGATCCCCCTGCCTCTGCCCTCTGAGTGCTGAGATCAAAGGCGTGTGCCACCACTACCTGGCTCTGTTTACATCTCTTGCATTCTCCCATCTTTAGAATTAATTTTGAATTCTGAGTGTCAAGGCACTATGTACTTATAGTAATGCACTATTTATACTTGAGAATGATAGCACTATCTAGAAGGATAAAGCTAGAAAAGATAAAAGTACAATTTGGGAGGAATAAAAAACAACCAATTTTGTTTGTTGTCTGTTCAGTTTTCCGTAAACACTGTTAATCTTTGTACATTGTAATAACAAGCTAAACAAGCTAACATTTTGTACAATTAGAGAGTAAAAATTTAAGTATAAAATGAAAATCTACTTTCTTTAAAAAACAAACAAATAAAAAAACAAAACACTTGTTCTGGATTTCTCTTGTCTTTTGTCTTGTTAGAGGAAGCCAAATAAAAGTTTCCCCATGTGCAAGGAAAACAAAAACAAAATCCCCACCGAACCAACACACCAAAGTCTGGGTGCCTGACCTACAACTACGGGGAGAAACTGAACACAGCTTCCTGTGGTTTGCTGCTTTTTCTTGCCCTTTTAGCCCTGAACATGACGCCGGGTTTAGACTTAAAGCCCCTAATACCTGCAACTGGCAGCCGGCGGGCTCAGTGCAGCCGCTGACATAACCCATCTCCTGGCTGCCAGTCAACCGTGAACCGCGCTCCGGGGGCGGGATTTCCGTAGGGGGCGGAGTCTCCCGCTGCCGCCTAGCTGGGGGTGGGGCCTGGGCGAGCCGTGGCGGTAGGCGGGGCAACTCGCGCGGGGTGGGCGTGGCGTGCCGCGGCGGAGGGCGTGGCGTGCCGCGGGGACTTCCCCTGGGCTGAGCTGCGCAGCGGGTGCGCGGGGCAGGGGCTGGCGGGTCGGGGCGGTGAGGCACGCGGGTGGACTCGGGCAGACCCTCGGTGTCCCGGGCGGGGTCTCGGATCCCGGGGCTGGCCTGGGACACGGGGGCGTTGCTGGGAGGCGGGGAGCCGCTCGGCCGCTACTCGCGCGACCGCGGCGAGCATGCGTGCGTGCGCGTGTTCCAAGCGAGGCCGCGCGGCTGTCCTCTCTGTCTGTCCTCCTCAGTTAGGGAACCCGAGTCCCGATCCGGGCGGGGAGGCGACCTCTCCCCGCCGCCCAGGGGTGCCCAGAGAGCAGCCGGGAGGTAGCGCTGCTCCTGGAGTCACGGTGGGCAGCTGGTGGGAGCTGCTCAGGCTCGAGCCACAGGATTTTAAAGGACCTGTCTCTGTCGTTTTTACTTTTAGGATTTTGGCCAAATTGGGCGAGGGTACAATATTACCACTTACCCCTTCTCACCGAGGAAGAGCGGGAGAAAGGGTAAGTAAGTATCGCTCAGGGGCGGAAGGAGCCAAGACTCCGTTCTTCGAGGTGAAACTGCTCCTGGGAACTTGGGTCCAAATTCCACTTTTTATCAGAAATTGGAGGTCCACCTTCGAAGGTCACTGGTCCCAAGACCAAGCGTTTCTTCAGGTTTCCGAAGTCCATGGAGTGGGCTGGAAGTTTAAACAGCTTTTACATCCCCTGACAGAAAACTCACTTCCTTTCAGACCGTCTTTAACCTTGCACATTGATGCTGTGGCCCCCCTGTGGTCCCTTGTCTTGCTAGGTGGCATTCACTAGTAGGGTGTTAGGTGATCCAGGCTTTGCTTGATGACTACCCTTCCAGGGAATCTTTGCATTTTAAAATCTACCAGCAGGGGTGAAAAAGCACATATCCCATAAAGATAATGGCAATTTCATATACTGGACACTCTTTCGAGACCTTTCAGAATTACAGAAGAAAGAATTTGTCCTCAAGCATTCCGTACTTTTCTAAAAAGTAGAATGACTTTTACCTTGACGTCCTGGGAAGTTTACCGAGGCACTCAGTGCCGTTTTTTTTTTTCATTGGTTCTTCCCTGAGACGTTTTTTGTTCTTTCTCCTATACACCACACTTTCTCTGTGTGGTGATGGGGTACACAGCTTCTCTCAGGTTGGAACACCCCCTACCCCGCATTATATATGCCACTGTTAACGTTTACCCAGAATCCAGTAAGTTAGCTATTAGCAAGAACAGTAAACACAAGCCTGTACACTTAAACAGGAAAGCTAGACTTCCCCTCAGGGGCCATCCTGGCACAGGCCACCTGTGAGCCTGGCTTCCTTGTTAAGTTGTGGATGTTCACACAATTCATGAGGAACTGGGACATGGTTGTTTATTAACGAGGGGCTCTGTTTATGATGCCCTTTCAGCGTGTGTTGAATGAACACTGATTCAAATGGGATCTGGAGAACGGGTGGGATGGCTCCAGCCTTTGGTCCCAGCATAGCTGGGTGTATTTCTGTGAGTTTGAGGCCAGCCTAGGGAGTTGTAGTCCAGCCAGGATCCCACAGTGAGACCCCATCTCAAAGACAAAACAAACAAAATCCCGTAAACAAACAAAAGAGAATGCGGAAATGAGACTGTGGAGGTGGCCTTTTTTGGGGGGAGATGAGGGTGGGAGCATGGGCCTTTTTGGGGGGGGTGGTGGAGGTGGGGGAATGGACCTCTTTTAGGTTTCTGTGGAAGTTTTAAATAAGTATGTGTAAATGGGCAAGAACTCCGCTCTGCTGCTGTCTAGTGGCTCACCGATCTGAAGTTTTGTGGGAGAACAGGGCTCTCAGCCCACTTTCCTGGTAGATTTCCGTTGTGTTTTCCATCATGCAGAGTGTTATGGTCATTCTCCAGTGCCATGGATGTGTTGTTCGGGTACAGAAACCAGATGAGAGGAACGTTTTGAGTTGTTCTCTAAGAAGGCTTAGTTTGAGAAAACAGGGAGACAGCCAAGGGCGGCGTACTTAGGAGAGTGATGCTGAAACCGGCCTGCTGTGGATTTCGCTACCTTTATCCCCATTGCTATATTGGCATGAGAATAGGTTGAGATCAAAATTAAGTTATTTAGCTGTTACTTCGGGTTAACTCATAGGAGTATGGAAGTAAAAACTAATATAAATCCACCTCAAAGTTTTAATATTTTGGTATTTACCTTTTCAAAGTTTTATACCATGTATAGACGTGGAACCCACAGCTACATGTTAATCGGTCATACAGCCGAGGTATTTATCTGCATGAAACATATACAATGTAATATATGTATTTTATGTATGTTACCATTCTTGGCAAAACTGTACATTTTTTTTCCTTTTCTTCTCTTTTGGCTGTTTACCACCAGTCCCCGCTCTCCCTAAAATCCTCATGTAGATGTGTCATGCCTTTTATAGTCTTTTATTTTTCTGAGGTGCTGGAGGTCAAACCCAGGCCCCGGACTCTTCTCAGCAGCTCCTCCACCAAAGAGCTTCAGCCCAGCCTCCACACTGTTTCACCAGTGTGGCTGCTCCTGAACGGGGAACCTTCCTGTTTCTGGCTCCTGAGTGCTGGGATTACCGCAGTGTGCCACCACGCCTGGTGTGGTATCTGTAATCTTAGACGTAGCCTTGCATCCTATTGACTCTGTCACTGGGGACCCATTACAGCTTCCCTGCTGCTTGATTTGGATGCTATCTACATAGAGCAACGAGGACCTAAAAAGGAAGATCGCATAAAACAATGTCCGACATGCATCTGTGTGCTCGCTGTCCTGTTTCTCTGATTGTCGCCATTTTCTTTTTTAAACTTACTTGTATTTTGTATGCATTGGTGCTTTGCCTCCATGTATGCCTCATGGAGGTTTTGGATTCCCTGGGACTGGAATTATAGACAGTTGTGGGTGCTGGGAACTGAATGCAGGTCCTCTGGAAGAGCAGCCATTACTCTTAACTGCTGAGCCATCTCTCCTGCCCTGCCTATCATTTGCTTATGATCCTCCTCTGCACAGTGCCAGGCAGCCTAGAACCCATTCTCCTGTAAGTGCCAAGTCTCCCTGGTTTATGCATCTTCATGATGCATTTGACGTGGATCTGCTGCACCTGATCCCAGAATCTCTGAAACAAAGATCCACACCTAGTGTGGCTTGATTTTCCTTTCAGATCCTCTACAGTCTGGCCTAAGGGTGCCAGCTTGAGAAGCAAGGGAAAGGGTTTCTGTCCTATGTTTAAAGAGCTCTGCCACTATTCCCTAGGTGAGATGGACAGCCTGTCACATTTATCTGAGTGCTCCAAGTTGGGATTTCTATTCCAGACACATCTTTGACTTAGAAGCATTATAATAACAATGCTGACGCTTCATGTCCATTCTGTCATGGTTTCGCCAAGTTGTGGGTCTAATATTCAGCCAAGGTGTGTATTTAGTGTGTCCGGTATCATGCTTGGAGCTGAGAAAGACAAGTCCATAGGCATCTGACTTCACAGCAGACATCTGGTTTTGCTTTGCTAAGGAGTACACTTTGTCAGTAGATTATAGGCGCGTCAGCTGCCCTGCTGTGGTTGGTGGTGTTTCTATGGAGAGCGCTGGTCTGCAGGGCCTAGCCAGTGTGATGTTTTATTCAGATGACAGCACTGGTCACATGTGCACGTTTTCCCAGGTGTTCTTACAAGTTAGCAAGTTGGCGAGTTTTTATATTGTGTTTTTGTAGAAGGAAAACTGTTTTAAAGAAAAGCCAAACCTAGAACACTAGACCTCAGGGTCCTGGTTCATGCCTGCAATCCTAAGCACCAAGGAGGCAGAGGCAGGCTAATTTTGAGTTCTAGTCTAGCCTAATCTAAATAAGATTTTTTTTTTAATTTTAAAAAGGAACCTGATAAGGTTTTAGAAGTCCGTTTTCTTGCTTTTTTTCTTTTCTTTTCTCTTCTTCTTCTTCTTCTTCTTCTTCTTCTTCTTCTTCCTCCTTCTCCTTCTTCTCCTCCTCCTCCTTCTCTTCCTCCTCTTTCTCCTCCTCCTCTTCTTCTTTCTTTTTTTTTTTTTTTAAACAGGATTTTTTAGGTTTCCTCAGATGTCCTGGAATTTGCTCTGTAGATCAGGCTGGACTGGAACTCAGGAATCCACCTGCCTCTGTCTTATGAGTTAAAAAGTCCATTTTCGAGTCTATTTTCTTTCATGTTAACAAACGAACTCACAGAGAAAGAATAACAAGTAGCATTTGGATTTCCAGGTTAAGGTAGCAAAACCTTTTAAACCCTCATATGCTGTTAGAGGAGATGCATACTCCTAGAGATTCTTCAGTCTCTCCATCTGTGTTCCCTTTCGTCTCACAAATTTTTGAACAACCGTTGGCATATAGAATATGTAAAGTAGGTGTATAAATCAAACAAGTACTTATAATAAGCCATGAAGCAATTCTTTTAAAAGTAGTTGTTTGGTATATGAATACCTTCACCGTTTATTACAGAAGAGAAATTTGCATGGTAATGAAATAGATGTTCTCATTTATTTGCATACAGAATTAAACCTTGCCTGGAGACTAGATACTTAGGACCTAGAACATCTTCAGCATTTTCATAAGCAGTCCATAATCCATATTCATCAGTGCCAAGAATGCTGCTTCATATAAATATGTAGTGAAAAATGGCAGAAATGTGTTTAGGATCACCTCAGAAACTGTTGGAAATTCTATTCCATTCCTTTTTTTTTTTTTAAATTACTTTGGATGGAATTCAGGAATTCAAGTCATCAAATCAAACAGTAATTTTTAAAATCAGTTATTCTAGAAGCTGGGCGTGGTGGTGCACACCTTTAACCCCAGCACTCAGGAGGCAGAGGCAGGCATACCTCTATGAGTTTGAGGACAGACTGGTCTACAGGAAAGTCAGGACTAGGGCTATGCAGAGAAACCCTGTCTTGAAAAACAAAACCAAACAACAACAACAGCAGCAACAAAAGGCTGTTACATTTCTCTCAGAGCAGAAAGCTCTGCACGGTGCAGGAAAACAGAGCAGTTTCTGACCTACAGTAGTTTCCATGTGAGCGGAGGTACTTCAGCAGCATTCTGTGTTGTATGCTGTGACCCCGTGTATGGTGCAAAGTGAAGTCGCGTGTCACAGCACTGGCGAGCACTGCAGGAAGCTCCTTCAATTTGGTTTGCATCAGATTTTGAATTAACTAAGATTTTTTTTTTTTTTGTGTGTGTGTGTGTGAGTTGTCCTGTCCCATGGTGTTTTATCCCCGAACTCCTTTCCCAGATATTATATACATAAACTCTGAGGGTGTAATTCACATTTAAGAGGTTGGTCTATTTGCAGAAGTTTGTGTTCTGATAACCCAGCGTGACTGAAGCACATCCTCTTCCATGTTGATGTTGAGGGACATTGACAGATGCAGGAGGCCTGACCTTTTAAATTTGAGAGTGGGCTGTGTGATCTTGGGCACAGTTCCTCATCTGTAAGATGGGGTATTACTCACGTTTGCTGTGAGATTCAGTGATTG